GATATTGGTCCAGTAGTTCAAAAACTTGCAAAAGGAAGCCCAGGTTCTAGTCCTGGCTGTCATCCACTGATGTCCTTGAAAAGTCACCATCCTTTGATTTTCAGCTCGTGGCCAGGTAGGATGTTGACTCCCTGCTGTCTTCATGAGGATGAACTAATGGTTGTATAAAATGCTTTGCGAACTGTAAGGTAACGTACATACTGTAAGGGATATTGTGATAAAATCAGTTTCTTATAAGATACACAAGCGTATTGTGTAGTGTTGTACAGAAAGAATTATTTTAGGTAGGTTGATCAGGGTTAGAATTACTCCCAGGGCAAAATTTGAGGAATGTATTAGATTTCTAGACGTGAATATTGGGGATCCATACACCAGGCAGAGTGAGAGTGTGATATGTGTTCAGCGAAGAAATGGGAATCACTATGTACTGAGCATCTACTGTGTGCCTGGCTAGGCTCAGGGTATGTGTGTATGTGTGTGCGTGTCTGTCTAATACTTTCTAATTTAATCATCATTAGTTTTTCTCATTTTTCAAATTGGTGCTACAAAACCTACTTATAGAGTATGAGTGTTAGAAATAACATCTGTATACTGAAGTCACGCCATTAGTACCGAGATTTCTCCAGTGCTGTGATATTATCCCCAAAGGGCATATGACCTGTTCTTTCCTCTTTGTCCTCCTTCACTGCACTATAGCGTTTGGTGGGATCTGCATCCCTTCTTAGAAGCCAGCAAGAGGTTGTTATATTATAGTTGTAATTAGACACACCTGCCTGAATTATTTCAGCTCTTTTTTTCTCCTCTCAGAATGCTTCCCTCTTTTAATCCACCTGCATTCCAATACAGGTTGGGCATCCCAAATCTGAAAATCCAAAATCTGAAATGCTCCAAAATCTGAGACTGTTTGAGTGCTGACTCAGTGGAAATACTAGACCATTTTAGATTTTGGAAGTAAGTATAATTCAACTATTTTAAAATCTGAAAAAATTTGAAAACGGAAACACTTCCAGTTCTTCAAGCATTTCAAATAAGGGATACTTAACCTGTATAGGTTAGTCTCCTAAAGCTTTGTTTTGATGGTGTTAAGTCTAAATTTGGAGGGGTCTATTTTCCCCTAACTTTTACGGAGCACTTATTATGTAACAATCCCAGTGCTAAAGTCTGATTCTCATTTAAGGCCTCATAATAACCCTAAAGGATAGGAATTTTTATTATCCGCATTTTTCAGGTAGGAAAACTGACCCTAAGAGTGACTAAACAACTTGCCCAAAGCCTCACAGCTGACAAGCAGAGAAGGCCGGACATAAATTCACCTCTGACTCCAGACTTTACTCCTAACATTGGACCCATACAGTGTGAGACTGAGTCAGGCATTCAAGGCCTTCCAAAAATTGTAACCAAACTTCTCTCCACTCTTTTCTTCTGGTGTGCCACACACTTGAGCCAGTATGACTGACAGGATAACAAGAAGTGTGAGAACATGGTCTTTGAAATGAATCTCAACTCTGCTACTTGCTAGTGATGTTACCTTGCAACTCAAGGGAACCCAACCTTTCATTTCCTTACAGAAAAAGTTGAAACTAGATATCCATGGGTAGAGGACTGATGGGGAAATCAGAGGTATGCTTATAGTAGGTTTGGTGAGGCAAAGAGTAAGAGACTGAGGAAACAGATCGTCATAATGTTTTCATTTGTTTCAAAGTAGAGGCGATATGAGCCTACTAGTAGGTAAAAGTAAGGGAGCCACTGAGGAGTAAGGGCAGAAGAGATGAACGAGGGGCATAGAAGATGGGCCATATTGATGTGCAGGCCTCCTTTGTGACTGAAAATAAACGAGGGCCTTCTGCAGGCACATGACCGAAGATTGAAAAGCTAATGCGGTCATAAAAAATTCCTTGAGTCAGTATTTTTTGAAATCAACTGTATCTTCCCTTTAAGAAGCATTAAAAGATCTTTAAATAATGACTAAACATTTGTCGAGATCAAATTATATCCAGGCTCTGTACTAAGGGTTTTACATTTAATCTGCACAATATTTTTTATAAGATCAATACTCTTATTGTTCCAATTTACGGGTGAGAGGATTGAGGTGTGGAGAAATTAAGTAACTTGCTAGGGTTACACATTTAGTAGGTGGTGAAGCCAGAATGTGAACGGAGGCAATTTGACTCAGAGGCCTGGCATTCTTAGTCACTGTCGTATACTGCTTCCCAATTTGATTTCCTCAGTTAACACTTGACTACTATTCCAAGTAATATTTTTGTCTATTTTATATCAGGGGAGGGGAGGACTATTCTAAGGAATGTTTCCAAAAGGGATTAATACAGTAGTACATTAGACAGAGACCCCATTTGGAGAAAAGGCCTGTTAAAAAGAGTTGCTCCAAGTCCCTACCTGGCTGGGGGAGAGTGGCCTTCTGGACATAGCTCTCCTAGCAGACCTTGCACCTGAAGACCCTGATAAATACTTGGGCAAAGAACATGACTTCTAGGACCGTGCAGGTTAGTCAATATGGTGCAAAAAAGTGAAAGCACGCACCACCTCCCATCGCCTGAGAAAATAGCATGCGTCAACAGCTCTCTTCCAAGATGTAGAAACCAACCTGTAGCAGCTGCTCTGTGTGGAGGTATTAAATGTTGTGAAAACACCTGTGTGTGTCTAATTCTAGCCCAAACAAGTCTCCTTCCGGCTCGTCAAGGTGGGGAGAGAATTTACCTAAATGGAGATTACTATTTCCAGTAGAGTGATTTGTCTATTACTTCCTGTAGAGATTCCTCCCCTCTACTTTTTTTAAATTGAGATATAGTTTGCATACAATAAAATGTATGCATAGTAAGTGTTTGGTGGGATGAATTTTGACAATTTTTATACCCATACAAACACCAGCCCAAACAAGAAAATCCTCTTATGTCCCTTTACTGGACATAAGTCAGTGCTCCCTCTTGTCCCTCTGACTTCTGTCCCCATAAATTAGTCCTGCCTGTTCTTGTATTTTGTATAAATGAAATCATACAGATATATTCTGTTATGTTTGACTGCATCGTGCTGTATTCTTATAATGGAACATTTCTCAACAATAAAAGGAATGAACTACTGACACAACAACATGGATGAATCTCCTGTAGAGTTGTGCATTAAAGTTTTTAGGGTTCATTTTCTTCATATTAACCTTCATATTCTTGGTAACCAAAGTGACCCACAAAACCTGCTTCTGCTACTTACTTATTGTAGTGCACAGTTGCTGACTTCATTTTTCCTCAACTTATGGGTGATCATGATAATGACTTTTGAAGGGAATTTAAAATTGTGGAATGATTTTTAAAAAAGGAAATATGTTAGACATGTTACATGGTATCTTTTTAGTACTTGCAAATATCAGGAGTAAAAGAAGCAGGGAAACAGACCCACCCTCCTATGAGTGGCTGTCCAGTGGGCCCTGGATGTTCATTTCAGAACTACTACATGCTGCGTGCTGTGCACTTTTCATTGTCATGAGAGAGAATGTTAAGAAAACTATCCCCGCAAGAAAACAGCTTTTCTTGGCAAGTGAAATAAGACTTAGGGAGCCAGAACTGGAGACATACGGTACTATGAATGAGAGCTGTGTTACTTTATTGGATCTGAGTCCAGGCACTATTTATACTGCAGCATATTCAGCACCAGATTGTTAAATCTTAATACTGAAACAGTGCATCATTTTAATATTTTTGTTCTGTTTATTCCCTGTTTTCAAGCATGATGTCAAGCATTGCGCATTCATTTATTTCATCTTGGACAGGACGTGCCCTGACCAAAGAGTTCATTTCCTATTGTTGGAATCTTGCCCCATACCTATGAAGCATCTTTTTTCGAAGCTTTTAAAAGTTCACTTGGGTATACAGATGTTTTCTATCTTTGATGATAAGAAATTTTTTTTTTAAAGAACAATGTAGTTGGACTCACCTGTACTATCAAAAATAAAAATAAAAATGCTGTTTTTTTCTCTTTTGTCACTAAGACATTACTGCTTTTTATGAGTGACAGTTTCTGACATCCTGAGAACCACTGGGTTTTTCATAGCTTACAAATACAATTTTTGTTACCCTGCGTCATTTGTGAAATGGGTTTCTCTATTTTTCTTCATCAATGTTATATGTGCCCTATGTACCAGATAAGATGGGCCTATTTTAGGAATGTTCGCATTTTCACCATATGGTGCTTAAGCCATCCCATGAATCTTCCTTTAACAAGAGTATTCCTAAAATCACTGCTCTGCGTAGCCCAAGTTTGACCAGGATTTTTACTCTTTTTCCATTGTCACGCATGTTTACCATATGCAGCCAGAAATCCACAGGGAAAGAGTACTATTGTCACTCTAAAAAGAGCTGAGGAATGAAAAAAAGAAAGTAAGTCGAAGGCATCTTTGCTATTTCTGATGTGTGGTCAATCACAGCGCTGTTGCGTTTGGCCCAGGAAAACAACCCCTCTGCCGGGTGAGATGCGGATATGGAAGTGAACTCTAACTGCTTCATCAGCTCCAAATGCTATTCGCACTGGGAATCACACCACAGTCAGGATGTAACTGTGTGCTGAGCCCACACACAGGAATTTTCTTGTACAATTCAAAACCGAATCTTATATTTACTTAAGGCTTACTTTTTTTTTTTTTTTTTTGTCTATGAAATCAGCAGTCCTGTATATTTAGCATCAGTCTTAAGTTAGAATGTGAAACAAGACTTTGGGGGAAGGAAGTATCCGTATGGTTTTCTAAGTAATTTAAGAAACAGGAAAACATAAAAGAACTGATTGTGATTAAACCTCATCCTTTCATTCCCGTCTTCCTGTATAGTTAACTAACTCGATTGTCAGCCAGAAAGAAATAGCTTATTGCACTAGGTTGTAAAATATCTGTGTGGGCCTTGAATGTTGACGATTGAATGACCTTCTTAACATTGAACAAACAACAGGAAGGTTTAATAAATAGCAGATATGTGTTTATTATGTTTTTCTTCCCTGTGCAGGAATAATCAAGCTGGGAAGGTGGAACCCTCTCCCCCTCAGTTATGTGACAGACGCCCCCGACGCAACAGTGGCCGACATGCTACAAGATGTCTATCACGTTGTGACGTTGAAAATCCAATTACAAAGGTGGGTGTTTCTGAACATCTGCCTTTCCTTACTCATGAAGCTGCTCCGGCAATCATAGATTCACTACAGGGATCAGCACGTCCTGTCTTCATTAATTTCTCGACATTGGACGAAATGAGAAAAAGGAGAGAGAGGAAGGAAGGTGGGCACTTCACCCGGCATCTTTATAGTCCACATTCCAACTGTTTTATGCTTTGTTTTCAGAAGCAGTGAAGTGGTAACCTAGGGGCAGTTTGATAAATCATTACTTAAAGGGGAACTTTCCACAGCCCCTTATTCAGTGGGTTCTCTAGGCCCAGCTAAATGCAGAGTACATAGTATTTGAAGAATAAACACCTCTGCTGTTTTCAGGCTTGTGTTGTGAGGGGTGAGTTTTGTTCTTGTAGCAGGTTTACCAAGAATGCACTGGCACTGGAGACCTTTTTCTTCCCTTTTCTTTTTTGAGACAGAATCTCACTGTGTTGCCTGGGCTAGAGTGCCATGGCGTCAGCCTAGCTCACAGCAACCTCAAACTCCTGGGCTCAAGTGATCCTCCTGCCTCAACCTCCCGAGTAGCTGGGACTACAGGCATGCGCCACCATGCCCGGCTAATTTTTTCTATATATATTTTTAGTTGTCTAATTAATTTCTTTGTATTTTTAGTAGAGACGGGGTCTCGCTCTTGCTCAGGCCGGTTTCGAACTCCTGAGCTCAAACAATCCGCCCGCCTCGGCCTCCCAGAGAGCTAGGATTACAGGCATGAGCCACCGCGCCGCGCCTCTTTTTCTTCGCTTTTCAATGGCCACCTCAAAGAAACGCACTCTGCGGCTGCAGAGATGCTGGGATTGTTTCTTTTTTCTTTTTTTTTTCTATGTCATATATGGCATCCAGAACAAGATATGATTCCAGAGAATCCAGAGGACCTTTGTAGGCTTTTATTGTAAAGCGCCTGCTAGTTGTGATTTAAGGAGTATTGTCCTTTAGTGTAGAAGTTTTGAATTTTCTCGTTTTGGAGAATTTATGCTTTAATAGGTACTCAACCTCCCCATCCTTGTCAAGGAATGCTTGGGTATCTTATCTTAAAAGTTACTTTTTGGTTAGGAAAGTAAAATATCTGAATTGTTCTATAAGGGTGAAGGGTGGGCCTTCAAACTGCAAACCTGGTGGAATGTTTGTTTACATTTAACCTTAGGAATGCCCACTAATTAAATTTGCAGCAGGGAAGTTTATAAACACACTGCCATGCCATTCATCAGCACATTGGAAAAATCATATTTTTTTTAAAAAAAGAATTTCTTTATATGCAAAGTGACCATTTTTCTTAGACTAGTGTGATAACTAACTTTAAGAGACCCTGTTGGGCTCTATCAAGGTCCTGGAGAAACAGTTCTGCTCCCCTTCTCTCATTTAGGGCCCACTTTAGACCCTGTTCTTCAGCAGTTCTAAAGTGGCCCAGGAACCAGGAGTGACCGCTGCACTCACATCCTCTGCTGTCAGGGGCCTTGATTGAAGTTTTCATGTTGTTCATTCTTGCTCTGTTTTACAGTTGTTCGAAGTTGGAAGACTTGCCTGCGGAGCAGTGGAACCACGCCACGGTCCGCAATGCCTTAAAGGAACTGCTCAAAGAGATGAACCAGAGCACATTAGCCAAAGAATGCCCTCTCTCCCAGGTCTGTATCTCCAGGTGGGGTCAGGCAAACAGAGAAGCCCACTGGTGGGCTATGTAGTAGAGGGCCACTCCTGCTTAGACAGCTGTCTCCTCTGTCTTTTATTTATAGAGTCACACTACATTTGAGATGCAGAAAATATGGAGATGATGGTGCTTTTGGTTGTAGAGTAGAAGTATCACTGATTGAGAGCTTTGATGTAAGGGGAGAGTATTAAAATATTTTATTTACACAATAATTAACTTCTCACATATGTCGTTGGAGGTAGGGATAAGTGTCTCCATTTTATTGGTGAAGAAATCAGGGCTCATGGAAGCCCTTAAATTCCCTCCCTAAGCTTACTAGCTAGTTAAGGGGCAGGTTGAGATCCTACTCCAGACCTCAGCTTCCAAAGCTGATGCAGACTATCTTGAGGTGTACCGAAATGTGGTCCAAACTGTTGAGTCCGGACTCATGACTATCTTGTTTGGTTTTAACTGTAAATGTGACTAGAGAGACAGCAGGAGGGGAAAGAATCCACACCAGCAGCTTAGAGCCCCGAGCTCTAATCTCAATTCTTTTAGCCGGACATGTGATCCTGGGCAAGTCCATCCACTTCTCAGAGCCTTGTTAAACTCGTCTGTAAACTGGGCATGATTGTATCTGCTTATTTCATGTAATTTGCAAAGTTGTCTTGGGGTTCAAATGAGATCGTCTTTACCCTACCATAAAAACCTTTTTCTCCCCCCATTTTCTGTTCTCATTATTTGCCCATCTGGTTGCCCAACCTCAAAGTTCCTTCTTCTTTACTCTTCTGTGTTATCCTATGGATCCCACCACCTCTCTATCTAAAATCTTTCTCCCTGTGCCACTGCCTTGTTCATACTTTCATCACTTCTCATCTAAAATTTTCTAGGTCTTCCTGCCTCATGACTTTTCTCCTGCCACCTGATTCTCCAGCACTAATATTGCACCATTTCCTCGTCTGTAAGCGTCCGGTGACTCCCCCCACCCAGCGTGTAGGAAGTACAGACTCTGAGGCATAGCTTGTAAGAGCCATCGAGATGATACTGTTCAGCCTCATTTCCTGCCAGAGCCACCTTCCTCCCTCTTCCTGCACCCAACCTATGCTCCAAACACATGAAATTAATTACTTTGGAATATTTGCCTTTGCTTAAACTTTATCAAAATATCTCAGAGTGGGAGATGGGAAATACCTAACTGGTATTGCATTACAAATCTAACAAACAATTTCCTGTATTATCTTAAAAATTCATGTAAAGTTTATATTCTGTTCCATATACCTGTGTTTTAAATATTTTGTAAATGCCATAAAAATCACTTTACCTGTTACATTATTAATTTCTTTCCGTCTACATAAGACTGACCCTCCAGGGAGATGCACCTCGTTAATCCCTGCTTTGGAAGCCCAAGCCCCTGCACACAATGCTGGTAACCCTGGAGTCCTCCATCTGACGCTTGCTTTTGCATGTGTGATTTCTTCTGGCTAGAATGCAGTGTTCTCCTCTACTTGATGAAATCATCTTTCTGATTCCAGCTGGAAAGTCACTGCTAGTGAAGTGCCCTGACCTCCTGGTTGAAGTATTTGCTTCTCGTGCTCTTAGTAGCCTTTTGTACACACCCCTATCACAGCACTTATCGCAGCCTCTTGTCATTGTTATCTGCCAATTTCCATCACTTGATGGACTGTTGACAACAACAGAGGCTATTTCTTATTTATCTTTGTATCCTCAGCATTCAGCACAATGTGTACCTTGCATGTAGTTGTTGCTCTAACCTAGGAGTTCTAAACCTTGGCCCTATTAACCTTTCGCCAGGATAATTGTGGTGGAGGGCTGTCCTGTGCATTGTAGGATGTGTAGCACCATCCCTATCCTTTACCCACTGGATGCCAGTAGCATGCCCCCACTCCTCTACCCCTGGTTGTCACAATCAAAATGTCTCCAGACGTTGCCAAGTGTATCACTTTTAGTTGAGAACCAAACATGAATTAAATATAAAAATATTTTAGACAGTGTAAAGTTTTATTAATATGCAAAGTTAAAATTTTATTATTATTACAGTTTTCTTAGCAGCTCCAAAATGCTTTGAACTAGAAACAGTGAACAGAGTAATTTGGTGGTTGATGCTCAGCACATTTCAGTCAAATAGGGACTCAGTTCCATTGTTTAGATTTTGGGGAGATTGACTAAGGCTTCTTGTGTGTTGTGTGATTATGGAACATCTCACTGGAGTAGTCCTTCTCAGCCAGGATGGACATGTAATATGGGTTCTGGCAATAATCCTTAAACATTCTAGATGATTCACTTAAATTGCATAGCTAGATTGTATTTCAGCATGAAAATAAGCTCACCCATTTTGTTGATGGTTGTCATAGAACAGTAGCATGCAGTTTTTGAAGTTTAACCTTATAGAATGTGAAAAAGAATTCATTTTTGTTCTAAGCAAGGTGAAGCAGTAATTCAACAGCATGATTCCACCAGCATTCCTGGAATCCTCATTCAGAGTCAGGTACTTTATGATGGCCTGGTTGAGATGAGAGAGGGTGGAGGTGAGAGAAAGACTAAAAACCTTTCAATACAGGAAGAAGAGTGTGGAGCATCCAGTCTTACTCACCTAGATGAGAAAGGTGGGTTATCGGACTTTTCAAAAATAGACTCAGCTCATGAGTAAAGATCCCTGTTTTTGAAATAATCGTTCCTTATTATTCCCCAAGACAAACCATCTTAGGTATTTTCTCATTCAAGTTTGGCAGTTGCCTAAAGGGTGAGTCAGTGGATAGTACATATTTTATTGAATATCCTAGTGATCTATAGTTCAAAAGAACAGCCTTGAAGGCAGAAGAAAAGTTGGAGAAGTCCATACAAGGGCAACAATTGTAGCTTCAGGTATATATATTTAAAGGAGAGGGAAGTCATGATTTAGCCATTTTGTCTGGCCAGATACTTGGAAAGTATAGGTTGTGTTTGAGTGGTTGTGTATTTATTTTTGATTTCACCTTTCAAAGTATGTTTAAGTGCCAACTTCTTTTTCCTCTGATGTCTCTGTCCCAAGCATCCTAATTTGCCAGACTTTAGGCAAATTCAGGTCTTCCTTATTAAACGGTGTTCTCTAACTGTTCCAATTTGAAGAAATTACGAACACTTCTTTCTGTAGCTTATTTATTCTTACTTGAGGAAGAGTTAAAAGACCTATGGTCTATTTTTTGACTGCAAAACTCCAGGTCCTCAGGGTTGTGATCCATTTAAATAAGTAGAGCTACCAGTACCTGCCTTGTCCATCTCAGGTGATCATACTGACCAAATGGGATGGCTAAAGAGACAGTCTTAACTGAAAATTATAATGAAAGAGAAAATAATTTGCAAATGCATGAGCCTTCCAATGTGCTTCTGTCCCCCATGCATGTTCTCTTTGACTCTAGGTATGTTTAAAATTTTCTCATGTGCAGTAAAATATAAGTAATGTGAAGCTTACAGTTTTAACCACTTTTAAGTTTATAAATGAATAGCATTAGTTACATTTGCAATGTTGTACAATCATCACCCCTATTTTCAAAACTTTTTCAACATCCTAAACAGAAAGTCTATAACCTTTAAACAATAATTCCCTATTCATCTCTCCCCACATCCCCAGTAACTCTATTCTATATTCTGTCTCTGTGAATTTGCTTATTCTAGATACCTCTGTTCTCTTGTGCTGGCTTATTTCACTTAGCATAGAGCTATGTTTTTAAAGGAGCTCTGTCCCATGCCTCTAGTTGAGATTTTGTTGCCAAATATTTTTTTTTTATTTATTTATTATTCCAGGTTTTTGTGAGGGTACAAACATTGTAGTTACACTTTATGTCTTTGCCTCACCCAAATGTTGCCAAATATTCGAGGAACAAAGTGACTTACTAAAGTTACTGAACTGCAAAGATGTTACTAGATTTCCAGTGTGACAGTGGTAATAGTGTTTATACACTCTGCCTTTAGAAATAGACTGTAGGATAATTATTTCTGTCATCCTAAGCAAGCCTCGCCCATTTAGGGATCATTAAGGGACCCAACTTCTACGTAATTGGACACTGAAATCAAGCAGCCAATTGGGTCAGTAGAAAACAAAATGAATCGAGCACGTGCTCATCTGCAGACAAGGGGCTGGTCAACTGTGTGGACCAGTATCGTGTTAACTAGTTGCCACCTGTCCATTTTATTTAAAGTTCACCTATGTAGTGGGGATGTATTCTATCTCATGTTAACCAGTTGCCAGCTGTTCATTTTAGTTATTTTCATGTGATGTTGTTTCAGTTTGTGGCTCGACCTCATGAACTCATGTTGAAGAAGGCTCACAAACTGACAGCTTGAAAATAATTCCTAACCTGGGCATTGCAGTGAACATAAATGGTTGCATGGTGGGGAGAGAGATGACATTTCTTGACCCCACATCTTATGCTAGGCCTTTTATGCAAAACATCTCTTGGCGTCCTTATGCCCTCTGATGCAGGTATCAGTATCCCCAATCACAGATGAGGGTGCTGGCACCAGACAAGTGAGCCATTCAGCAGCAACTTAGGGGAAGAGCTCTTGAATGTTGTTCTTTCATATCCCAAAGCCCAGAGAAAGTGTTTCTTTCAATTAGAATGGCAAAAGTTTTCAATTCTGATATTATAGCTCAGAAATGATGATAGAGAGGGATAGTAGAAGGCTGCCAAATGACAGTAAATAAATTTTTCATGACAAAGTAATTCCTCGAAATCAGTTTTTTCTCTTTACTATACTTAATTGAAGTGTCATTGTAATCTTATGTTTAATATGTTGTTTAGCATATCACAAAATAGCTTGGAAATGGGCAAAGGATGCACATAACACTGATTGGCTGTCTCATGCTCTCTCCCCCATGTAGACCAAGAAAAGGAGGCCAGGGCACCCCCCTCCTCCTCCCCCAGCCGCTAGGGGATTCTTACTGACAGGATGTGTAATCATTCACTTTTGTCTTAAAATGTTCTTTTTCATAGAGAGTATATTATGTATCCGCAGCTTAGCTACTCTTAGTATCACATTAGTGTTCAAACAAATAAATCCCACCAAGCCAAGGGGAATGTGGATATCCAATTATTTTATCTTTCTTTTTGTTCTCTGTGGGAAAAGGCAATGCTCAGATCTCTGTCTTTCCAAGTATATTGTACAAATCATCTTAACCTGTGTTGTTGCTTTGCTTTTTCCTATTAAATTTTAAATTGCCTCTAGGTTCCTTAGTTTTCCCTGATTCTAAACTAATTAACTTGTATAAAGGGCCTAAGGTCACAACGTTATGTTTTGTTGTTGTTGTTGTTATTACCTTGTTTCTTGTTTTGTCTAAAGAACTGGTTGTAGCATCAGCTGTTGAGCTTGTGCTAGCTGATGGATGAAGTGGTGAATATTTTCTTCCTTTCATTAATGAGTTTGTCTTCTGAAGAGACTCAGGAAATTCTGTAGCCCATTGGTAGAGTCTCCTTGTGATGCCTCTTCTGCTATTTGACTTTGAATAAGATGCTTCTTTATTTGGAGCTTCTGGGCCCTTAGTTTGAAAATGGAACCATACTTATAATCACATGTGACATCTGTTCTCTGGGCTACTTAAGAAACAAACAAATGAGTTTAAAATTTGTCTCTGGAACCTAAAAAAAAATGTTTATTTTTAGATAAGGCAATCTAGCTATTATAAGCATTAATAATAATATTATATTCTCTTATAGTTTAGCTTAGAGTAAGTTCAAATCTGCTAGTAAAATTTGGAATAACTAAAGAAAACTGTGGTATAGTTTGATCCCTCAAATGGCTTGTTTCTTTTTCTGTTTCTTAGTTTTGCTGGATAGTTTTTTCTTTTTCCTTTTTTTTATTTCAAAGTATTACAGGGATACAAATGTTTTTGGTTACATGGATCACTTTTGTAATGCTTGAGTCAGAGTTAAAAGTGTGCCCGTCACCCAGATAGTGTTCATTGTACCTATTAGGTAGGTTTTCACCCATCCCCCCGACCCCCTCCCCTCTGCTTGATTTCCATTGAATTTTACTTCCCTCTGTGCACATGCAGAGAGAAAGGAATGCTTATACACTGTTGGTGGGACTGCAAATTTGTACAACCTCTATGGAAAACAATATGGAGATTCCTCAAATGCCTTTTTTTAAAAAAAACTTTTAAATATAAGTGGCAAACTATATGTCAGATGGATTGCAAATAAGAACACTGAGGCTTCATCCCTCATTCAAAATCTTTACATTTAAGGCTGGGCATGGTGACTCATGCCTGTACTCCTAGGCCGAAGTGGGAGGATTGCTTGAGCTCAGGAATTGTAGACCACCCTGAGCAAGAACAAGACCTTACTAAAAATTAGCTGGGCATAGTCATGTATGCCTGTAGTCCCAGCTACTCGGGAGGCTGAGAAGCCCAGGAGTTTGAGGTTGCTGTGAGCTATAATGATGCCACTGCACTCTACCCCGGGTGACAGAGTAAGATTTTGTCTAAAAACCCAAAACTTTACATTTAAAATTTCACAATTAATTGCAAAGAAGCCTGAAATTTTTCAAGAGGTTCTATAGTTGGGAAGACATTTTAAACCTTTTTATGTATATTAAAATATAATGTTATTCATAAAATAGCCTTGTCTACAATCACTTTTTATGTGGTGTTTGTGGCTGTGTCTCCGTACCTGAATGGGGGCTGCCACTATTGCCCATCATGAGCGTGCCCTCATCCTTCCTTGTCACAACCCACCACCACGTGAAGTGATGTGTGCTTTGCAAATGCAAAGTCATTTTAAAATTAGCCTCAGTAAAACATAGTTCCTCCGTTTAAGTGTTAAAAATAGCAATGCACATATCTTCTAGGTTTTTAAAAATCAGTATTCCTTTATATTAACACGAATACTGAAGAGTTGATTACATTTTGGATTGAAAAAGTAGACTCAGATCTTGTTCCTTTTTGAAAAATATGTGAGAATCCTAAAAGTCCAACTGAGTGGTTGCTGTAGAATGATTGGAAAACATAAAAGAGCAACATAAACTGCAAAATTATCTATTATGCACTATATATAATTATAAATTATATAATAAATATAAATTATATATTATAAATTATATATTTTAAAAAGCAGTAAATGGAATTAGATCTGTTTTGGCAGGGTGGTAGGTGAGAAAGATTTTCATCATTACTCATCCCATTTTGCATCAAATGTATCTCATTGGTTTTAGGATGCTATTGATTGCAAGATGCATCCCTATTTCAGTGACATTAAGGTATAAAAAATGGCCTTAGAATGGATAAAATATGGTAGATACATATTCTCTGTGTCCCAGGACCTCTGGAGAAGATTGTTTCTTATGGAGTAAAAGTCAACATGTGCTGGGTCTGTGTTAGCCCCTTTCAACTTTGCATATTATTAAAAAAGTTTTGATTTTATAAAAATTTAATTGACACTAACATAAAGATAACCTCATAGTATGTGTCTGGAGTATTTTAGTGAAGCCTAGTGATTCAGACTCAGACTATGAAATATAATGGTCTAATTAGGGTTACAGAATGTTCATGTTTGAAACTGGAATATTGTTTTATGACCAGTAGAGATAGAAACTCATTTATGATAATCTGGGGAAGAAAACAAATCCGATTAAGTGTGGGTAGCCAATGCCTCCTTTCTAAATTAGTTGTATGAAATACAGGACCTTGTGATGGGGCTGGTGGGAGCTCAGATATTCATTTCCTTGTCACATAGGTTAACACTGGCCTTGTGCAAGGTCGATGAAGATGTAGCTGGGGCAAGGACAAAGTAGAGAGGCTAGAGTGGGAGGGAAATGTGTATTATCTGGGACCAGAGTGATGTGGGCTGTAGCCTTGCATTGTGGGCCAGGAAGAGTTGAGGAACAGCTCCCAGCAGCACTTAGACACTTTCCATTTTAGTCTGCTTTCTAGACCATTTTGCAATACAAGGTTTAACTTTAACTCCTGCCACGGCTATATATCCTATGACTTTTCAGAGGATAATTTTCATATAAACAAGAGAGAGAGATGACAAGTGCATTTGTGATTATTCACATACACCAGGGAGTCTGATGCATCTATTATTAGGATGCTTTCATGTTAAAATTTTTATTATTATCACATTTCAGTTTGGCATTTTAAAATTTCATCTCTGTCCCTCTTCATGTGTTAAATTTCAGTGACTCAGATATCCCACATCGGAACTATGTGAGACACGAGGTAGAAAAAAAATGAAACAGACACAGTCACTGTCCTCAAGGGTCTCACAGTCTAGGAACAGAGAGAAAATCTCAGCCCAGAGAGGGAGCTAGCTCAGCTAGTCAGGAAACAGCTTTACTTGGTTGTGAATAACACAAATCAGAATGCTGCCTCAGGGAGATTAGGCTTCCAGTGGTCCCCTAAGGCAGCAGGCAAGGTCCCATAGTTTCTGTCATACGCTGAGGTGACACTGGCTATTTGAGTTCCCAGTGCTATGTTCAGACCCTGGGATTAAAAGAGTTCTTACTGTCTCCCCATAGAGAAAAGAATTGTCACTTAGAGATCAGCAATTGGGGGAGGCTAGCCATCTGCTATGTAGAAAGGGCCAAAGAGGTTTCTCTGAATTGAATTAAGAACCCCCTCCTCCACCAGTACCGTGCGCGCATAGTGATTTAAAAAGAGAGGGAGTCTGATCTTTTAAAGGGAGTCTAAGAAGGTCTGTATGCTGGCGTTTGAACCTCCTGGTAAATAACTCAACGTTGATTTGATTTATTGTTATCCTTTTTATCCTACTACTTTGTAGAAATGTCATTAGAAGTTCTAAGATTTCTCTGAACTGCTCCATATCTGGGGACAACTTTTTTGAGAAAGATGAGGTTGCAAGGCAAAATGTAAAACCTTACACAGGTCATTTGGATCTCTTGAGTTGTTAGTATTCGTTTGTTTTGAGACAAAATTTGTAGGAAAAAATCTATATATAAAACATACACAGTCAATTCAGGTATGAGTTGACATCTGTCACAAATGTTGGCCTAAACATGCGTTATTAACTGCAAACATATCTCTGTAGGAAATTAAATTCAAGGTGTGAAATTATAATTTTAACTTTTCAGTGCTAAGTCAGGTTATGTTCCCCTTCTCTTTCTCCTTAACCCCGATTACAAACAAATTAGCCGAGGGCTAGAGCTGAGGAGAGGAAGATGAGAGCAGGGAGGAATCGTGCCCTGAAGCATTTAGAAAGTTTTAGCTTTGATTCATTTTTGGTTGAAACACAGTACAAGAGTTATGTTTAGTTTCCCCTGCTCTAAAATAGCACTGTTAATTTTTTCATTTGGTGAATTTTCACACAAGTGCTAATCACACGTTTCTATAAATTATATTAATTTAACTTATTTCCCTAAATGTTGTTCTGCAGTGTGTAGCACGGATGTTCTCAGATTTTTGGCTGTGTATCCTTGTTGCAGTTGGAAATGGAACAGAAACATCTGAAAGGCATTATTTGGATTATGGATGCTGGAGCATCTGATCTCACCTTTTGCTCTGGTTCCTAAATCACAACTGTTCTTCCCCATTGCATTTAACCTGCATGCCCTGTCCTCTCCATTTTTAACATTGTCCCAGGCTTGGCTTTGTGGACAAATTATTGTCCTTTTTCAAGTATAAGTTAAAGGGATAGTAAATTCAGGTAATCATGTTTGATGTTAAGTAGTTTAGTTTGCAAGACAAAAGAGATTTGTGTGGGGCCTTTCTTATCCCTAAAAAGTAGTCATAATTTTGAAAAATAACTCTTTTTTTCCTTTTCAGAGTATGATTTCATCCATTGTAAATAGCACATACTATGCCAATGTGTCAGCAACCAAGTGCCAGGAGTTTGGGAGATGGTATAAAAAGTACAAGAAGATTAAAGGTAAAGTAACTTTTTTGTTTTTAAAGCCTATTTTCAGTTTCTTAGGTCAATGAGTTGTTGGTTGTTTGGAATTTATGCTCATTTTAGATATAGTGCACATAATTTTTTACAAAGGTAAGATTCTCAATATTTCTGTCATGAGATACAAATTGACTCCCTTAGAACTAAGATGGTATTAGAACTAAAAGTGAAAGTTTTAGCATGATATATGAAGTCTATAGTTTTCATAAGTGATACCTGCCAAGGCTAAAATTCTTTAGAATGGAAACTTAAAAGTAGTCATTCTAGGTTAAATCAGCACTTACTGTTTGAGTACTGATTAACAAATTGGAATGACGCTTGTAGTATAGGGAACTCTTTGGTCAGAAATGGAGTTTTGATGTTGTGTTTATACGTAGACAATTCAAGAGCAGTAGTTAAATTGCGGGCTCTGCAGTCAGGCAAACTTGTGTTCAGATCTTTGCCTTCTACTTGCAAGCTGTGTGAGATTGAGCACATTACATAACTTCACCAAGACTCAATCTCCTCATCTGAATATTGGAAATAATCAAAGTAGCTGGATCACTGGGTAGCTGTGGGGACTAAATAGGACAAAACTGACCCAAAATAACATCTTAATAAATAATAGCTATTTAATAGAATACTATGCTACTAATAATTAATAGTAGTAGGAGTAGTAGCAGTAATGTATTATATATGGAATTACGTTTGGTCCTAAAAATACAGTTCTCTTATGTAATAGATAGCATGCCATTTACACCATCTAGTCCTTTAAACATATCAGTGATATTTTACCTTTGCAAATATGTCAATGTTGGAAAAAATCTGTTCTCACTCCAATTCAGATAAATGCCACCAATGAGGCAAAAATTGGGGAATTTTTTGTAACACTGATGTTTGAGAGTCCTTCAAATTTCACATGATTATGACATCATCAATCATACTTTATTATAGGTGTTTATAATCTTGCTGACAGCTCACTGCCCCCATCTTGAGGGCCAAATGACAATTTGGTTGGTGGGTAAGAGTAAGGGATGAACTTATTTGTTTTAATACCTGTAGGTTTTTCTCAGGAGGTACAGGGGTCAAGTAATGCTGATTAGCTATTGAGTATTTGGGAATTTGTTTACAAGATTCTCTTTTGAGGAAATAAGCTGTATATGCATTGGTGGCACATTTCCTATCACAAAGGAGTAAGAGTATGTTATGCTAAATATACAATTTATAAGGAAAGCCAAAATGTGAAGCTACCCAGGAGAAATTAAGTGCACTGAAAATTGAATTAAGATCCATTTCTTTTCAACATATTCTCAAATTCTTAGAATCCTTTAGATTCTAGTCTGGGCAAATGCTTTAGAATATTAATATTCACCCTTGTATGGGATAAGATGAATAGCTCCTTCTCATAATAAGACATGATTGTATGGTTCGGAAGGGTTTCTTTTCTGTAAGTGTTGCCTCCAAGTTTTTCTTTTAAAATAGGATCATTAAAGTGCTTGAACATATCCTTTTTGGCTAAAAATCAAAGGAATCACGCAGCTTCAAGGTCATTTGTTAGATCCCATTTACTTACTGTTGTAAGAGAAAGGAAGAGAGTGTTACCTTCTAATAGGCTGGAGTATAATTCCAGATTCAGAGACATTAGAAACTCTTCACTCTAGTGTTGTCAGAATTGCCACTACAGAGTTTGTGTGTGTGTGTGTGTGTTTGTGTGTGTGTGTTTGTGCATGCCCACATTAACATTCATGTCTTCTACTTTTCTCGTTTCTTAGAGATTCAATTCTTCAAGCTCTATTTTTTTTCAAGATAGTAAATGCACAGTTAAATCTTAAAGTGCTGTAAAAGCGACTGAGACCTTGATTTCATTCACTAGGTCAAGGATCCACACCTGAAGAGGCTGTCAGACACTATGTACACATGCTATTCAAAGAGATGGAGCTAGTCATTGCTGTTGAAAAGTGTGTGTGTGTCTGTGTGTGTGTCAGTAGGAGGAGAAAAGGGAAGGTTAAGGTATGTGTGAAGTAAACACAAGCTGCTGTAAAACAGTTCAAGTGGTGTTGATTCATCAGCCGAGGGAGTGGGAGGAAAAACAAAGAATTCATGACAGGTATAATGGTGTACAGAAAATAAACACTCAGAGAAGTGTATTTTATTAACTTTCGACCCTCAGAAAAAAGGAAGTGTTGGACCTAGACAGGCATATTTCATTCAGTAGAAGATTTTTGCTATGAATAGATGTCACTGTGGGAGTTCCTATCTGATAGGACCCATTTCTCATGGGAAAGTCATGATTTGGTTGGTAAAATTTTGGTTTGTGTTCATCCATATTAAAAATGAAAAAAAGAAGTAATGAATTTCAAATCTGGAAATCAGTAGCCGCAAAACCAGCCTACCCTAGGGCTCTTTCTGAGAACCCAGAAATCAGAGTTCCATATCCCTTTCTGCCTCCCCACCTTGCGTTTCCACCTCAAAGTTACAAGTACTGTGACTGATACTCAGTGTGGAAGAAAATCTAAGCTCAATTACTGATGTCCCAACCTAAATGCAGGCTACATTGTTAAATATGTTTCCTATTATCTGCTAATGTCTGTTTTAATAAAACAGTGGGAACTAAATGGTTGCTTCTTAATCAAAACCATGATTTCCTAAACATAAGCTATGTGATTCTGTTACAAATTGCCACATATAGATCTCCTAGGTCAAGATTTTTTTCTCTTCTCACAGAAATAAATAAACAGTAAAATAATTATATACTCTGAAAGATCAAAGTAAATATGACTAAAACCTGGCAAAAATAAAAGTCTACTGGAAGGATTAAAAAAAAGATCAGATTGCAAATTCTACAGTTAATGCTTAAATAAATATGAGAAAAATGAACAATCAATAATTTGATATCATTAAAAACAGATGTAAAAACCGTATACAAATGGAATTGCCTAAATTTTGAAGTAAACATTTTAATGTGCATTTTTTGAATTTGTTGTTATTATAGCTAAACTATTTACACTTGTTCTTTAAAAAGTCTTAAATTGGTTGGTCTTAGCATGCTAACTTTATTTTCCCCAGTGATCACAGCAAAGCACATTCTTTTTACCTTTTTTCTTTAATTTCAAAAACAATCACAGTTGACACAGACATATTTGAGTTAACATTAAAGTTGCTTTAGGATAGATGGGGAGACAGAGTTCATATACTCTGGTTTCAAGGTCCAGGACCATGAACCTGTTTCCCGGGAGTTTTTGACATTGAAGACAATAGAGTGTGTGGGTGGGGTGGTAGGCTGGTTTAGACAGCAGTTTTCTTTTTGCTGCTCATCACATACTATAATTGCTCCTGGACTAGATTTTTATAATATAAAGTTTCTAAGCTCCCAAGTATAAGACAAAAATATACATTTTACCTAAAAGCATAAAAAAAAGACCAATACTAATAATTGTTTAATGTTTAGTAGTTTTAGTGTTGGGATACAAAAATAATCCACAGACACCTAGCAACATTCATGCTATTGCAAAATTATTTTCAAGGTTTTAGGATTATGAGAGATTTAGTCCATCACTTTTTCTTTCTGCATATTTTAATAAAAGACTATATATATATATTTTTACCCAACTCTTCTTTTGTATGGACTCTGTTTGGATATGAACTTGTCCCATAATTTTTTATGAAACCAAGTGGCAATTATGTGTGCATTACCACCATCAATTATTCTGTTATGGCAATCTAGTTTTGCAGGGGATATAATAAAAATAAGAAAGTGCCTTAACAAAGAATGTCTCATATACTTTAAATGTGTCCTATTAATAAATTAAAAGAAAATAATTTTAAATCTAAAGTGCTTGTCATCTGGTACCATAAATGAATTAACATCTTTGATGAGGTCAATCCCAATTATTTAATATGTCTCAGCAATTGATGGGGTCATTGAAAGTTCACACAAATACTTGGTGGTTATTAGAAAATTATTTGTGTCATAAAATAATACCCCTAGAATGAATAGACTTAACCAAACCCCATATTTTGGCCAGAGCGCAAAATTATCCGCATCACTTTCCTTTTCTCAATCATTGCTCAGCAACCTCCTGATTGCTAGTTGTCTTAATTTTATTTGTTTATTTGAGCTTATTTTGCAAAATATTAAAAAGCTGGGAGAAAAGAGGATTTTAAAAACCAGTGTTACTTCCCCAAGCCTGGTTTATTCTAGTAATCAGTATTTTATCTGACCCTGTCTGATCTAGTCTTGCAAGATCAAACGTCCAGGCCAGCAAGCAGACAGTAAACAAAGCTCATGAAGGGTTTCAGTAAACACAAAGATTAGATGTTGAATGAAAATTAAACTCCTTGAACTAGTCCTCTGTACTAAAGTGGTTAAGTGGGTTGTGATTAAAAGAAATAAGTAATTATGATCATTATAGCTGAAATGATATAATGTTACCACATTTAAAGCACCTCTTGTATCCGAAAATGATTGTGTCATTTACAAAGTGGTGCCTCAGAGTTGAATAGAGAAATCAATGTCCTCTGACCTGGTTCCATAAGGTAGCCCTTGCTTAGCCATGGTGGAATCGGTGGTCAGGACAATGCCTTTAATCAACTCCTGGTACTTCTGTCTCTGCTGTTGTTTAGCTCTGATGAGGTAAAAGTAACTTACTTTTGTCTACCTAATTCTTTTGAGTCATGAAAGAAATTTGCTTTCAGCTTCAGATCTAAATGAAGTGTTCTGCAAGGAAGTTGGTCTGCTCTCTGCCTATACTGTATCCTGCTAAAAGTAATGGCAACATAAAATCCTTTGAATCTTGTATAAATATTTATTTTATTATGTATTGAAAAATTATTGTTGTATATATTTATGGGACATGAAATGATGTTATGATTTTTTAATATGTGAAATGATTAAATCAAGCTAATTAACCTATCACCTCAGATATTTGACATTTTTGTGATGAGCATGTTTGAGATTTACTCTTCTTATGGTATCGAAATTATAGTACTCAGTTGTTAGC